ACAAAACCATTATACCCTGATTTCCCATTTTCAATGGGTTCAGGGTATAAAAATAAAACAAATATCTAACAAACATTTTTTATGCTTCATTAATCATTTATTAAAAAAATTAATAAAAGGAAAAAAAACCAATTGTTAAATATTTTTGTTTAAATAGAAATACATTAAAAGCAAAAAATATAAGTTAAAATTTAACAACATAATAAATTTCAAAATTTAATGTGCCTAAGATCTAAAACATTATAATTAAAATTCAAAAATATTTATTTCAGTATATAATAATAAAAGTGCATACTAATTACAAAATCTATTATACACTGTAACTAATTAAAACTGAACAATAAATGCCACATAATAATATGTATCTACGAGGGCAAACTTTTTAATGAACACATCTTATTAGCTAGCAAATAATATGTTTGCTCTATAGTCTAGGCAAATATGTATGTTTGCAACTAAAAATCAATATGGATTTTCATGTGAAAAAATTTGAATTTTAATGGAATATGGCTTAGCATTATTTACAAGGAAAAACTTTAGTTGAGGCTCTTTTGAAAATGAACTATCAAATAATGCGATCGTAATTCAGCTGGAAACGGCTTTAAATGGATTTCTGTGTAAATATCATTAGGCATGTATGTGTGTGTGTATGTGTATATATGTTGGTATATCGGAAATCGGAGCAGCAGTCAATCAATTTAATGAGCTTAGTTAGGCGGCTTATGCGGGCAGGCGATCAAGAAAAGAAATACGTATCTAAGAGATACTTTTGTCTGCCATGCTGGCAGCTGGCAGCAGCAGCAGCAGCAGCAACAGCAGCAGCAGCAGCAGCTTAAAGGCTCTGACTCTGTCTCTTATGTGGCATTCTTTCTCACAGCATTTGCAGTTAAAGTCTCACCCACACACTCGAGTGCAACAATCTTGTTGCATGCTACGGGCGACGCCTTCCCAGGCAGCAAACGAGTTTTTGTTGTTGTTGCTGTAGTTGATATTATTGCTGCTGCTGTTGCACTAGTTGCAACTAGTTTTCTCATTGTTGCTGCTGTTGCTGCTGCTGCTGCTGCAGCTGGCCAAACGTATCGCGTATCTTAGCGGCTGTATCTGTATCTCAAGAATGAGCTCAGCGCGAATGCTGAGTTCGTGAACTGTCAACGTCGCTCGCCTCCATCTTCATTGCAATACAGCTCGCATACACTCACTCCCAGTATCTATGCATTGTTTTATCCCATTTGCAACGCTTTGATAGCTAAACGTAGTTGAGAGAGTTGAGATTGTAAGGGTTGTACAAAAATCTGGATTCTTTTCTTGAATATCTACATTTACAAATGCATATTTATTGAGGCTGAAGAGTGGATGGAAATATTTGATATATTTATTTATATCTGTCAGCTATATGAATTCTGTCTTTTTTAGAGCCTTTC